TTAAATTAATTTAGTGTATTAAATTAGATCAGGATGGATTAGATTAAATCAGACTAGACACGATTAGATTAGTTTGGATTAGATCAGGTTATATTAGATTATTTAGGTTTTATTAGATTTGATTATTTACGGTTGATTAGTTCAGATTAGATTAAATCAGACCGGATTCGGTTGTATTAGACTAGATTAGGTTAGATTAGATTGTTTAGGTTTAATTAGATAAGATTACAAGGCATTCTGTGTTTCTGAACCTGCCAAACATCCTAAATTCTAACATTGACTAATTAAATTCAATCATCTTCCCTTGATGTTTTTTATTTTATTTTAAAATTATATTCCCATGTATTTTCCAGTGTTTAACCTTTATATTAAAATACGTCTTTCAGTTTCTAATTTCTTCCTACTATTTCATAAAGTGCATTTATTTCAGTAACCTGATGTGAGATTAAAGGGCGACTAAACCCTCTGGAATAACAGGAACCAGAGGAAGTGACATCATATCGATAAATGATTAAAAGCCCAGATTTCTAACTACAAATAAAGCTAGCCGACAATTCCAACACAAGCTAACTATGCTAACCCCTGCTAGCCCAAGCAAAGGATGCTAATTCCTCATTATGTTAACTAATACGCTTTGCATGCTAACCGCAGCCTGACTGTTTGGTTTGAACTTTTCAACAGAATGAACAAAAAACATGCGGCATGTTTATCCACAGCTGTATGGCAAGGCATTTTATCATAAAGTCAACCTCTTCTGACCATCCAGTAATTACTTGTAAGACATCAAAACAGAAGTTTTAAATAGGAAAAACAAACGATCCGAATAACAATTTAAGATATCGGAAATTATGTAATGACTATTGAAAATAACCATTCAAGATATCTTCTATTACATTTTGGAGAGTCCAAATGCATTTTGAGATATCTCGAATGAAGTCGCCTGATTTGTCTTTTAAAGTGTCAGGAATTACAATCAAGATATCGCAAACGTAGTTCTGACTCTTCAAACTGACACCTTTAGATATTCGAATTAGGAAATAGCCCCCTGGTGCTGCCACTGAGCGGTCCAAACAGCTGCCTACAGAATTTTGCGCGGCTGAAACGGTGCTGGCTGTTATTGACAAAACTGTCCGAAAATTACGCCAAACTATAGGATCCATTGGCTATAGATGGATTTATTGCTTAGTTCATCAGCTGACTGGGAAATTACCAAAAGATGTCTTCCTGCAGCCCGAAAATTGCTGGTTTTTGCAGCCAAATGCTGCACAGGGAGGCATTTTATGGCGCGTCTGTGGGAGGGGGGAGTACCAAGATGGCGGCTGATGGCTTCCCAATAAATAGAGATCAGTGATCTGTACCATCAGCTCATTTGCTCAACCAGATATACATCCAGGTTTCCATAAGTAATGTAATTATGGTTCTAAAATTACTTATTTCTATACTTAAATCACTAAATAATGCTAAAAAACAATTTTAATGACTTTTCTGAGACAATTGTGCTGCTTTTTCTCTGTTAAACAGCTTCTCTGACGTCATCATGATCAGAGCAGTAAATCTGATTAAACCATGTTTATCTGCATTCTAGATGTTTCTTTCTATAGATTAACTATATAGCATAATGTTAGCATGAAAGGAAAATATTAAACTATAAAAGACTAGATTTATGTTTAAATCCAAAGCTGATAAAGTTAGCTCCTGGAAGTAGCGTAGCATCCCATTTCCTACAGATCAGGAACAGAGGATGAAACAGGAAGGATTTAAATGCTTTTATTTTATCAGGAAATACATTATTAACCTTTAACACATTATAGTTTAGTACAATTAGTATTTTAGGGAGGGATAAACTTCATTTAGTTCTTTTTAACAAAATAAAATGGAGGACGACCCGGATATCTGGTTGATGATGATACAGATTGTTCTTCCAGGACGAATCTTTCTTTAGGAACGAATTGTTCTTCCGGGACGAATTGTTCTTCCGGGACGGATTGTTCTTCCGGGACGAATCGTTCTTCAGGGACGAATCGTTCTTCCTGGACGAATCGTTCTTCAGGGACGAATCGTTCTTCCGGGACGAATCGTTCTTCAGGGACGAATTGTTCTTCCGGGACGGATTGTTCTTCAGGGACGAATCGTTCTTTAGGGACGGATCGTTCTTCCGGGACGAATCGTTCTTTAGGGACGAATCGTTCTTCCTGGACGAATCGTTCTTCCGGGACGAATCGTTCTTCCAGGACGAATCGTTTTTCCTGGACGAATTGTTCTTCCGGGACGGATTGTTCTTCCGGGACGAATCGTTCTTCAGGGACGAATCGTTCTTCCGGGACGAATCGTTCTTCAGGGACGAATCGTTCTTCCGGGACGAATCGTTCTTCAGGGACGAATTGTTCTTCCGGGACGGATTGTTCTTCAGGGACGAATCGTTCTTTAGGGACGGATCGTTCTTCCGGGACGAATCGTTCTTTAGGGACGAATCGTTCTTCCTGGACGAATCGTTCTTCCGGGACGAATCGTTCTTCCAGGACGAATCGTTTTTCCTGGACGAATTGTTCTTCCGGGACGGATTGTTCTTCCGGGACGAATCGTTCTTCCTGGACGAATCGTTCTTCAGGGACGAATTGTTCTTCAGGGACGAATTGTTCTTCCGGGACGGATTGTTCTTCCGGGACGGATTGTTCTTCCGGGACGAACCGTTCTTCCGGGATAAATCGTTCTTCCGGGACGGATCGTTCTTCTGGGACGGATCGTTCTTCCGGGACGTATCGTTCTTCCGGGACGGATCGTTCTTCCGGGACGGATCGTGCTTCTGGGACGGATCGTGCTTCCGGGACGGATCGTTCTTCTGGGACAGATCAGCTAGAATCAGATTCTCCCACCCAGTTGGTCCCGGTAGCGCGATGCGAACCATCAGCTAATTTGCGCAACCAGAAATGCTTCTGAGTCCCAATCAGTGGCGTTTTATTAAACAACATTATTTCTTTAACTAATTCTAAAACATGTAATAAATGAGATGAAGTAAAGGGTTAATAACTAACCGTCTGTAGCTGAATTATCCTGAAATGGGATCCCAGCCCTCCTCCCAGCTGAACGTTCTTTAGCCTCCAGTTATAAATGTGGTTATTTTTGGATTTATGTTTAACTTTCATTATACCTGTAAAATAAAAAATGGCTGCTGGAAGCTGTGGTGATGGATTGGTGGTGAACAGCTGGTTTTTAAGGACTTCCTCTCTGAAGCTGAGGAGGAATGTCCTGCTGGGGCTCAGCCTGCACAGCTCCAATGTTTAAACATTGAAAAATGTGCAGCTTTCATCCAACAGAGCAGCAGAAATATAGACTGGATTTCTATGTTCTAGCTCTGTCCTGATAGATCTCCGATCTTTAATGAAGTTCGTGTGTTTGGCTGAGCGGCTGGGGTGGAAAGGAGACCCGTTTGGACGTGTGTGGACTGTTAGACTGCAGAAGCCAATCCTCTGCTTGTTGTTTCCGGCTGTGTGAGCTTGTTAGCCTGCCGCTCAGAAATGCTGCAGGTGTTTGGACAAAGGCAGAGGTGTTTACCGGCTGCCTCTGCAGCCGTTTGAACTCAGCATGGAGACAAACAGGAGCTTTAGCTAATGACATGGAGCCTAAACACAGAAACAAGCAGCAGCTTCTCTGCTTTTTTCTTTTCTGCTGATTAACTGGAGTCTGAGCAGAGATCTAATTAAGCAGCTTAATGTTTTTACTCTTTGTTCATTTGCTTCAGTTTCTGTCTGAATAGAAAAAATAGTCTAATTGAATTAATTGGAGCACAAAATCTGTCTAATTAGAGGCATCAACCTGAAAGCTTCAGTATTATTTCTCATGGAGTGGTTAGTTTAACGCAGACTCTGTGCTTCTGTATTAATTATGCGCAAAGCTGAATATGTCTGCAGGGAAAGAACCAACAGACAGAATATAATAAATCCTCCCTAAAGGCAGAAATCAAACAGAAACACACCTTCGTTTTCAGAAGGTCGCATCAAACGGAGCGGACTCAGGTTACGGATCATCTTCAGGCATCTGGTCCATGAATAATCCACAGATCCAGGAACTGTTTGGGTTTCCCTTTGAGCTGCTGCAGCAGAACATGTCACTGATCTGAGTCATGCAGGTGGGACAGATGGACTTCAGCGACACGTTGAGCTGATGATGATCAACCAGGCAGCAGCTGCAGTCTGACCTGCATTCAGCTCAGACACTGAGGAAAAACAGAGATTATGGATCTAATCTGTAATCCAGAGCTTCTGACAGGACTTTTCCTTCCAAGTGTTTCTGCTAATCTTTATTTTTCAGTGCCACCTGGATTCAGGGTCTGACTCTCTTCATTCCTGCAGTTTTCCCACCTGAACAAATGAAACAGTAAAAAGTTTAAATTCATCCTTTTTGATTGATGGAAGGGCAGATTTTCAGACCCAGCCAGCGGTTAATCCAGCTGTCAGGAGATCTGGGCGCCTTCTGAAGCTCAGACCTTTACTTTCAAACACTCACTGTGGTGGGAAATGTTTGCCGCAGCTGTCAGTCAGCCGCTCACCTGGAAGCTGATGACATTTCCAGCTGCTGCAGCATTAAAGTCAGCTGGATGAAAGCTCTGCAGATGTTTCAGACACACAAAGCTGCTCTCTCCTCCTGGATGTCGGCCTGAATACAGATCAGGTCAGCATGTGAAGGAAGAGATGGAGGATCTGAGGGTGGGAAAGAAGACCTGCTGTCCTCGTCTCTGTGGGAACGTCTGCAGGACGGAGACACTGGTCCAGTTTGACAGGAAGAACTGGGTTTGGCAGACTGGGGGTGAATGGGTTAATGAAACGATGAATGGCTGAATCATCCTGATTATGTCAAATTAGTACAATAAATAGTAAACTAAACATTTTGATTCCGACTGAACCAGCGCGTCACATCTAGCCTGGGTGAAGGTCACCAGTGGAACAGAACTGGTCAGACTGGACCTGCTGGGACTGAGCTGGTCTGTGTGGTCCTCTCTGCAGTGGGAGAACGAGCAGCTGCACAGCCTGGAGGAGAGAGGACGTCTGCTGCTGTCCCTCCAGTTCCTGCCCCCCATCCATCCAGAGGACGCCGATGGAGGAGACGGAGGCCGGCATGGCGGCCTCTGTGTGGGCGTGAGGCGCTGTGCTCACCTGGCAGCCATGGATGTCAACGGGTTCTCAGACCCCTACGTCAAAATGTGAGTGGGCTAAGATCATCTCAGCCAGGTTAGTGTTGGAGGAAGAGGTGGAGGTCTGAGCTGACAGGAAGGTTCCTGCTCTCTCCATAATTACCTGAAGGCCTCCAGAGGAGAACATCTGCCAGGTTTTACTAATGATGGATGGATGGATGGATGGATGGATGATGGATGGATGGATGGATGGATGGATGGATGGATGGATGGATGGATGGATGATGGATGGATAGATAGATGGATGGATGATGGATAGTTGGATGATGGATGGATGGATGGATGATGGATGGATGGATGGATGGATAGATGGATGGATGATGGATGGATGATGGATGGATGGATGGTTGGATGATGGATGGATGGATGATGGATGGTTGGATGATGGATGGATGGATGGATGATGGATGGATGATGGATGGATAGATAGATGGATGGATGATGGATGGTTGGATGATGGATGGATGGATGGATGATGGATGGATGATGGATGGATGGATGGATGATGGATGGATGGATGGATGGATAGATGGATGGATGATGGATGGATGATGGATTGATGGATGGATGGATGGATGGATGGATGATGGATGGATGATGGATTGATGGATGGATGGTTGGATGATGGATGGATGGATGGATGGATGGATGGATGGATGGATGATGGTTGGATGATGGTTGGATGGATGGATGGATGATGGATGGATGGATGATGGATGGATGATGGATGGATGGTTGGATGGATGGATGGATGGATGATGGATGGATGATGGATGGATGGATGATGGATGGATGGATGATGGTTGGATGATGGTTGGATGGATGGATGGATGGATGGATGATGGATGGATGGATGGATGGATGATGGATGGATGGATGGATGGATGGATAGATGGATGATGGATGGATGGATGGATGGATGGATGGATGGATGGATGGATGATGGATGGATGGATGGATGGATGGATGGATGACCAGCAGGTCCTTCCCTGATGAGCAGTTTAGGAGGAAGGAGACCAAATATGGAGAAGTTCTCAGACCTTCATCCTCGTCTTCCTCTGCCATCAGATACCTGAAGCCCGACATTGAGAAGAAATCAAAGCACAAAACAGCCGTGATGAAGAAGACCCTGAACCCTGAGTTTAACGAGGTAAGCCTCCATCTCCAGAGGGTGGAGGAGTTCCTGAGCTGCTGCTTCACTGAAGCTCCTCCAGCTTCTGCTCTCTTCCTCTGCAGGACTTCTTCTATGAGATCTCTCTATCAGAGCTGACCCAGAAGACCCTGGAGGTGACAGTGTGGGACTACGATCTGGGACGCTCCAATGACTTCATCGGTAAGCCTGGTCCAAGCTGCAGCTCCAGTAATTAGCCACGCTGCCCCCTACAGGACAACTCCTAGATGTCCACAGGGCTGTGGAGGTGTCCACATATCCCCCGGACCTCACAGGGCCACAGAAACCTACCTGACGACCTTTGGTCCAGGGTGTGAAAGTATTGGCACCCCTGAATGTCTCTGCCCTGTGATGAGTTCAGGTTTCAATCATTTCTCTGGGATTTTCAGACACGGTGAGTCCGAAATGTCGGCAGGAGGAAAAGATTTGTGTCACATTTAGTCACATTTTGTGTGACTATTTTCTATAATCTTCCTGCTGCAGTAAATCTGCCCATTGTGGGACAATAAAGACATTTTCTATTCTATAAAAGAAAAATAAAAAAAATGTAACTCCTATCAGATTTCTAGTCCCCCCCCCCCCCCCCGCAGATATATTAGAATCTGTCCTTAAATTCCAGCCAAACCCATTTAATCAGTAACAGATAAAAACCTTTAGATAAATCCAACATTACCGCCACATATCTGACTCTATAACCATTAAAACAACTATTTTCATTCATCTCAAACGGAACTATTCACTGACTGGATTATATTAAACTGCACTTCCAATTTTCACCACTGCTTGGCGCCAAGTAACCTTTCCTCTCATCACGGCTTGCTTGGTCTCACAATGAATCCTGGGATACCTGAGGCTACGGAGGATACAGCGGACCCGTCCTTCAAATCGGGCTAAAAGAAGGACGCATTTATCGGCCGCATATCGAGGAGTCTTGGAATCCGACCAGACCTTGGCGCCGCGCTATGACATCATCGGCCTTCGAATGTGGCCTTCTAAGGATGCAGCCCATGAGTGAAGTTCCAGACTTTTGCTGCAGTTAATGCAAAGGTTAATATGCAGTGGCCTATGGCAGGCCATTTATACATTTAATATTAGTGCACCCCTCTTTGTTGTTCCATTTGTAGATCACTAAAATAAGATTACTCTTAGTGTAATGTTTTCTAAATTACATTTTACCAGCAGAAACTGAATTTCAGAAAATAAAATTTATTTACACTAAGATTTAAACTATTTGAACTAATTTAAACTAAGATAAACTAAGTAAGATTTAAGTTTTATGTACCTAGAAATGTTTCAGGCGACCATTCTGACATTTATCAGCTTTACTGAATATTTATTTATAATATCTGACATATATTTTATCATAGTCAAAATAATGTAAATGCTGACCAGGAATATTAGGAGATCTGAAATTAATTTCTAGACATAAAGAAAGTGTATTCTAGATGTGGAGAATTTAATCTTGTTTGAAATAGTTTTGACAAGGAAATAATGTTTTTTAATAATATATATTCATTTAAACTAATTCATAACTAAATGGCTTCCCACAGACTGATGTGAACATGAAAATACTCTGGGATTATTTGTTGAATGGTCGTAGATCAATGAAGAATAAAAACGTTCTAATATATAGAATCTGTTCATCATCTCATGGGTTCTTCCTCATGTTGATTTAGTCTCTTTTACGCAGTAAATTCTGTCTGTTTGCAGCCGCTTCTGATGTCATTGTCCCATAAACAGCCGTTATTAGCGGCTATCAGTCCCATAGAACGGCTCCAGATTGGGCCAGTAGGCTGTTATCAGATTTAATCCTAATCCTAACCCTGGAGTTATTCCTTTTACCGCGGCATTAATCTATTTATCTGTAATCTGACAGTAATTTCAGTTGTTCTTTATGTAAAAATAAATAAATAAGAATTAAATGATCCGCATCTCGTTCATATTAAACACCAGAAATAAGTAAATCTCACATCCTGTCACCTGAGTGGTTGAATCCTCTCCCTATAAATAACTGACTCCAGGTGACTCCACACCTGGTAAACATCCACTCTGTTGGGTTTAGATCTAGACTTTGATTAGGCCATTCTAACCCCTCAATCTGCTGTTACCTGAAGCTCCGCCCATCGGCCTGCCGACGTTTAATGATCCGTACGACTTTTTCTCATGTTTGGCGTCGTTGGAAGTTCCTTTCTGATTCTTCGTTCCTGTAGAGTTTTTCTTCTTTCTGTCTCCTTCAGCTTTTCCTGTTTCTTCCTGCTCTCCCTCGGTGTGCACTTACCCTCAGGTTCTGTTGGACGTCCCCTGCTCCTCCTCTGTCCTCCTCCTTCTGCTCCACTCAGTCTCAGTTTTCCATTTCTTGGAGAACTCCTTCGGTTTACTGATCGGTCCAGTTCCTCAGGTCTTCTTCCAGGATTATCCTGGTTTTAGCCTCGCCCACTTTCCATCAGCCTGGTGCTCAGCATGATGCTGCCACCGCCATGCTCCACAGTGGTGGAGGTAGTTGTCCTGTGGACATGTTGTCTCCTGCAGCTCCTCCAGACAGTCAGAGGTTGATAGAACATACAGGTTCCTGCTTAGTTGGTCACCATAGCAAGAGGGGATGATGATGGGGTGTCCATGCTTCTGTTAGCTGCAGGTATCCAGGTGATCTGTCCTCCAGGTGTCGTCAGAGGGAGACGGTCTCTAACTGTTCTCTGTGTCCTCCGGGTGTCCTCAGAGGGAGACAGTCTCTAACTGTTCTCTGTGTCCTCCGGGTGTCCTCAGAGGGAGACGGTCTCTAACTGTTCTCTGTGTCCTCCGGGTGTCCTCAGAGGGAGACGGTCTCTAACTGTTCTCTGTGTCCTCCGGGTGTCCTCAGAGGGAGACGGTCTCTAACTGTTCTCTGTGTCCTCCAGGTGTCCTCAGCCTTGGTCTCTAACTGTTCTCTGTGTCCTCCGGGTGTCCTCAGAGGGAGACGGTCTCTAACTGTTCTCTGTGTCCTCCTGGTGTCCAGGTGGCGTCTGCCTGAGCTGCCGCTCCCAGGGAGACGCCCTCCGCCACTGGATGGACTGCCTGAAGAACAAGGGTCGGCGGGTGGAGCGCTGGCACATTCTGACCAATGAGCTGCCGCGGAGCTTCAGCCACGACTAACGGCTCGCCGCCGCCGCCTCGTGGTCGCTGTCAGGATTTCCATGTTTCACACAGATCTTCTCATTGTGGGACAGGAAGACGTTTAGAGAGGCGTAGCCTGCGGAGAGAAGCCGGTGCCTTCATCTCTCATCACCTGGAGGAGTTTGATCGCGCCTCCTCCTCCTCCTCTCCGATAGGAGCACAGAAGCCCACCTCAGCATGTTTACAGGCTGCGCAGCAGCAGGGCTGCTTCTCTGCATCGCCTCTCTTGTGTTTTCCTACAGTTTGCATCCAGACGTTGTGGATTTTCTGCGTATGAAGCTGCATGAAGTCGATCAGTGTTGTTAATGTTTCTAATAAGACTCGCCTTACGGAGCCTCTTTAGTGCCGCAGCACAGTCTCCTTTCCTACTAATGGACCGATGAACAACCAGAACCATCTAAAGGAATGACGTCTGAAGGAGGAGAAAAAGATGAAAGCAGAAAATCTGTTCATTATAAAATTATTATTTGATTAGTAAAATAATAAAGGGAACAAAGTAAGTATAAAGGGGGGAATTAAATCACCTGACCCAGAAGAGCTGCGGTGGATCATGATGTCAGCAGAACTCCCTGTCTGGTTCTATAAAGTGTAGCTGAATCTAGAACCAAACCCACCAGAGCCGCTAACCCAGTGACGTCTCACTCTCAGCCCTGGAAGGCGCCTTGATTGAAGCATGGGGGGGGGGGGGGGGTTATAAAAGAAAAAGGAAAGCAGTCGTTGCCATGGCGTTATTTACGCCTTTTTCCTTCGGTGTGACGAAGTACCGAACCCTCCGCAGGAACGCGCAAGCTCAGGGTTGTTGCTCAGGGTTAGCATTTAGGGGCCGATAGCTGGCTGCAGGAAAGCTAATGCTAACACATTAGCTAACATCTACGGTTCCTCCTGAAGAAGTCAGATTGTAGCTCCTGTTCCTGCTCCTCTCAGGGGTCCACAGGAGGAGCCTATCCAGGGCAGGAGGGGAACTTCTGACATTATGGGATGGAAACATGGATGATGGTTGACCAATTAGGAGGGTCCTCACTGAAGGAGGGTCCTCACTGAACCTGTACGGTTCTGCAATGAAAATAATCCCACCATGCAGACGCTCCTGCTGGCACCTCAGCAGCTCCATATAATCCCAGTTTGATGGTGGTTGAGTGCCGCAGGCTGTCAGGTCTTCCCACTCACCCGCTGCATGCTGGTCCAATGAGAAACACGCTGATCTGATAACTGGATTAGATTTCTACTGACGTCTGCGATCCATTCATGTTCTTCTGCACGGGTCAAAACGTTCTCTGATTGGCCGTTCTCAGGATGGAGGAAACGGGTCTGCATCTTCTGCACCTGAAGCAGATTATTATTCACTAGAAAAGAAAATGGTTTTAGAAACATGGTTCCTGTTGGAGGCTTTCATGGAGAGGATCCGTTCTGATCATCCACCTCATCGACTCGTTTACATCCAACCTTCACTACTTTAGCTCACAGGATGGATTTACTCACTTTTTCTCTGCGATGCCTGAAGATCAGAACCTTTAGCAGCAGATAATCTCCTAATCTGAGTCTCCTCCTGGTTTAGTGTGAATGTTTTCATTTCCTTCTGATTGAATTAATCTGATTGTTCATCTTTATGGCTGCTCTCCTCAGTCAGACTGGGAAACATGGCAGCTCCTCCTGATGATGATGATTCTTCTTCCTTGATGCATGATGCAACATGTTGCTCTGTGTCTCTGATCTCCTGTTCTCTATGCTGGTGATGAAACCTTCAGGGTTCTGCTGTTTTTGCTGTTTTTCCTCCTTTTTTTCTGCACGGCTGAATGTAAGAATGTAACTTTGATCTGGTGTTTACAGATGTTTTCACATTTCTATCTGCTGTTTTCTGGACGATGCAACAATAAATTTAGAATGAAGCTCTGCCTCTGGTCTCAGTGATTTGATGTTGGCTCATTACCGCCCCCTGCAGGCAGCTGGAACAGCAGCAGGGGATGGATGCAGACCGTTGGAAGGATTGATCAGATTTAAGGATTTCCTCTGATTTTTGTATTTAATCTGCGATGAAGCTCTAAGGACTCGTTAGAAATCTTACAGCAGAAAGAACAGTTTTAAAGCGCAGATTCATCTCCCAGCTGGCTGAACAGGAAAGGCATCAATGATCACAAGGTTTGAAAAGAAGAGTTAGCCGTAGTGTAGCTTAGCGTAGTTAGGATGAAAGAGACATGCTTCCTGAGGTCACGGTCTCCAAGGTTACCGGTTAAAACCTCAGTTTCAGATAAAAATGGCTTATCTATTCACATTTCTTTCAGTTTTCTTCAAGTCTGTATCCAAAACGGAGGCCAGATGTCCAACTGCACCTGAACGCAGCAGCAGGTGAGCAGTGGTGTCAAAAGTTCACACATTAGTTACTTAAGTAGAAGTATAGATCCTGCAGTTTAAAAACACTCTGGTAAAAGTTGAAGGATCAACTTGACCTCTTTACTCAAGTAAAAGTGAAACAGTATGCGCTCCAAAAACTACTTAAAGTATAAAATTATAAAGTAACCTTTAATGAAAACAGCCAGATGCCGCTATATGAATTAAAGCTCAATATTTGGACTATTTCTATAAATTCTCTGAGACAGGGCCAAGGATGAGGGAGGTCTGGTTGGTCTCCGTCTCCCGATACGCTCTCGCCTGTGTCCGACCTTTCAGACATTTCAACATCTTTTTCTGAATCCCACATTGTAGCATGGCATAGACAATTTACGTTAGCGGTTTGAAGAACACCTGCTGGCTTCTGATGATTTCCTTTAGCTAACCAATGAGTGTTTGCCTTCTATGACTCATCCAATCACACTAGTTTTCACTAGATGTGGGCGGAGCCAATGATCTGCATTGGATGGCGCACATGACGCTCCGGTCCGGCCAGGTCATAATCCGTTATTGCAATTACACCAAAAAGGAAAAAAAACGGTGAGAAGATCCGGTTTGTCAAAGTAAAATATAGTAACAACAGATCGGTAATAACTACAAATTACAGCATAATTCTTCTATATTTCAAAAAACTAACAGCATTTATTTCAAAGATTGGATGCAAACTATTGGTCCTTCAAGAGACCAGGAAGCAGATTTCTCATCTCCATCAGAGATGAGAAACGAGTAACGTTTTTTTTAAAAATGTAAGGAATAGAAAGTACAGATACTGTGTGAAAATGTAATGAGTAGGAAGAAAATAAGTAATGTAGTAAAGTATAGATACCTAAAATGAGTACTTAAGTACAGTAGCGAAGTATTGTACTTTGTTAATTGACACCTCTGCAGGTGAGCCACAAAAGCAAAGATGTACCGTAAATAATAGTCCAGTTGTTGCTATGGCAACACAGTGACGCCCCATGTGCATTGCTTTAGCAATCATGGATAGATGCTCAACTCTAAGGGCGGCTATATCAGTCGCTCTGTTAGCAAAGGATTGTGGGAAAACATAGCGCTCCTAAATGGGGAACAGGAATGTCAGAAGGTCCCTATACTAACAGAAGTAGGATAGGAAGCATCCTGCTTCCTTTTCCTCCCTCCTTCCTCACTCCCAGCTCTGGTGATTGAGACCAGCAAAGGGAGAAAGAGAGGAGCAGAAAGGCCTGGAAAGCAAAGAGAGCAGCTGAAATCTCTCAGGAATTAAAAGGTGAGTGAGAAGGAACCCGACCACCAGGTGCTTGTTGAATGTCCTACCTGGAGGAGGCCCAAAGGATGGCCCAGAACACACTGGAGGGACTTCGTTTCCTCTGCTGTAAGTCTCTGCTTAGCGCTGCACCATTGACCGGGTCCCAGACACATGGAAGACGACAGTACGAGTATAAATAGACCAAACGTTGCCCCTACTGGTCTGTTTCTCTCTGCATTCCTAATTTTCCCTCAGTTTTATCATGGCTGCTAAAAGAAGAAAGGAGTAAAAAGTAGCAGCATTTAAATGAGTAGTTCCTGTAGTGGTCATCATGTTTGCCTCAAACGTGTAACATCCCAGGTTCGATAACCTGGCATGTTACTAATATCAGCTATAATAGCCGCTGTTCTAACCGTTTGAGTTCCAAATTCTCCCGAGTGGTGCCCGACTTTACACGACCGAATAACGTGAATGGGTTTGGTCGTTTATCAAGGGGAAGGGATTGTTGTGGCGGAATGTTAATAAGTAAGTTTAATTGTTACCGGTTTGTCGGAAGCATCTTGCTAACCAGTTAGCATCTTAGTGCTAGCAGGTTCCCAATGGGAAATTCCATTGGGACCAAGTAGCACTAAATTGTTGACTTAGAAACGACGCTGTCAAGGTACGCTATGGTAAGCGGAAACATGCAAGAGGAGGAGAGTTTAGTGTCGGAGGTCGTGGATGAGTCTCCTCCGTCATCCATTTTTTATTTAGAGCAGGAAAGCGGGGACGAAGATGTTGTGGAAGAGGACGCCAGGGAGGCAGAAGCTTGGTTTGGTGTAGGCTTCCAGCCGTACATGTTTGAGCCCTTGCCTCGCAACGCTGCCAGTTCTGTTAGCTCTACGCCTGCCGAAGACACAGACGTCCATCCATGTGAACACTGGGACGCAACTCAATGGGAAAGGAAAGGATTCTGATTTCAACCGTTGCGTATTTTAGCTGCGACATATGAATCAAGACGCTATGACCGAAATAATTTGATTGACAGATGGCCGTTGATATATGATTGGCCGAATTTAGGTGTTCAGGCTGACGTAGAACTAACTAGCCTGCAGAAGATAATGAAAAAAACACAGATTTTAAGACAAGATTCTTTTTAAAAGCAGAAATTTTCTCAAATTTGGGACAATATCTAATCTCATAAAGAGAACATTTACATAAATGTTTAAGCCAGAATGATTTTTCATTTAAATATGATTTCCTTAGAACTTTAAACATAAGTTGTGAAGCAGTGAAACCAGGCGTATGCTCTTACCCAGTTTTAGGGGGAGTGATGGTCCAGTGGTTAGGCCATTATGCTTGGATCCCAGAGGTTCTGAGTTTAAGTCCCACTTCATGGACTGCCACTAACAAGACCTGAAGACCTAGCAAGACCCTTAACCTCATACTGTTTCCCTGCAGCACAAGAGCAGCCCACTGTTCCCATAAAGGATGAGTTAAATGCAGAGATTGAACTTCGGTGCTCTGTACTTGTGACACTGGAATGACAAAGTTGAATTCTATTCTATGTAAAAGGTCCTCTGAAAATAAGTACAGGAAAAAGCTAATCAGGGTCTGCGTCTTTTCAGCTGCTTTGAGGAGTCATTATGATGCAAAGTTTTTATACAACATGTAATTGGGATTCCAACCTGAGTCAGCTTCATTCCAGTCATAGCAGTAGACCAGTACAGCATGAAGACTGTAGAAGAAGCTACAGACTCGTCCAATCCACTGCCATAAAGTATGGCTGCTGGAGAAGCTCCAAAGATGCACAATAAATATCTCCAGAAAGATTCAGCACCAAGTAAAACATTTGCTTCCGTTTTTTAAGCTAACAGATTTATTAGGAATTTTACAGTTTTCTAGAACATCTCCAGTCACCTGTCAGCTTATTAGGAAGCTGCTGATCTTAAATGCTGCAAATGGATGATAAACAACCTTTATGCGTGCAGGTTCCAGACGACTCCATCACCTGCGGTCTGAGCTGCATTAATA